GATCCCTAGATTTGTGCACTGATCTTGCCTACAGCCCTCAAGGCCCAAAGCTGAGTACATTGTAGCTGCAGCTACTCATCTGGGCTTGGTTCAACCCGGTCGGTTTCAGCTAAGGTACAATTCTATCTGGTGTGTAATAATCTTCTAAATGAACGTAGGCTTTGGGTAGTCACAAAGCCAACTAGCCATGCCTGTCTGAATATCAGAGCCCTGGCTGAGACCAGACTAATGATTTACCCTTTGCCTGTTCTAATTTTAATTGCTTCCATGGAACCTACAGGAGGTCTGGAGGTATCTCAGGCAAAGGATAGTTTGTGCTGTTTCTGCTTTATCACATCCCACTCACCAAATCAAGTAGATGTTCTTGAGGCTTTTATCTAGCTGTTATTTAGCTTTTTTATAAATTGAACTATTAGCAGATCTTCTTCCTTAAGATTCTGCCTCCCTTAACTTTACGATATCACTTTTCAACTATCCTTTGCTAGCCAGCTCTTTTCAGCCTCCATCGTAGGCTCCTCCTTCTCTGTTGACTCCAGCTTTTAACCTTGGCCCCCTCACTGCCATGGCCACTGCTTCCGCTCTAGAAGCCTTGAGAGTTGTTGTTAGTCTTCCATCCGTAACTCTTCATCACTAACTTTATCTACGATATAAACAAGGGGAGCTCTGTTGTGAGAACCTCATACTTCCCTTCTCCTCCCTTCCTAGTTTCTCCTCCAAATATCTGATTCTCATTATTTTATGCTAATGTCTCTGACTCCGTTGATTTCAATCCTGACTACAGATTAGAATCCCCTAGGCATGGAAAATTAAAAAATACTGATGGCTAGGCTACCGCATCCGAGATTCTAATTTAGGTGGTCTGGAGTGAGTCAAGGGCACTGGAATTTTTTAAATACTATTTTCCCCTGATTGCTGACAAATTTTCATCTTTGTGTTGGAGATGTAGCTTTGACAGCACGCTTGCCAAAGGTTGAGACTTGGTATTATTATTATCTCCAGGGTTCCAGGCCTTGGAGCAGGAGCCCAGGTTCATTGTCTTACATAAGGTCTCCACACATCTTGGTTTGCTCAGGACAGATCCAATTTATACCCATTGTTCTTGTGGCACAGTCAATTAGCAATCCTGCCCCTTTCATTCTATAAGGTATCTCTTTTTGTACAATAAATTTATACAGCCCCTCTAAGCATAAGAGTACCTGAAGGTTTGAAAACACTTAGTGTTATGAGCTGGATTGTGTTCCCGCAGGTTAGGATGTGACTATATTTAGAGACAGGGCCTTTAAAGAGGTGATTAAGTTAAAATGAGGCCATTGGGGGTGGGCCCTAATCTAATCTGACTAGTGTTCTCCTAAGAAGAGAAAATTTAGACACACAGAGAGACATCAGGGATGCACACGTGTGCATCGAGGAAAGATTGTGTTGTGTGACACAACAAGACACAAGAAGGTGGCCAAGTGCAAGCCAAGGAAAGAGGCCTCAGCAGAAACCAAACCTGTTCACACCCTGATCGTGGACTCCAGAAGTGTGAGGAAATAAGTTTTTGTTATTCAAGCCATCTAGTCTATGATATTTTGTTATGGTAGCAGTCGCAAAAAATGAACAAACAAAAAGTCTCACCAAAAGAACAAGCAAGCAAACACACTTGGTAGAATATAAAGAAAGTAAAAACAGTGTAAATACTGTTTCCTAAATATTCCAATCCTCCAAGACAAATGCTTATAGCAGTTTCCCAGAAACCCACTGTCTTGAGTTTAGATTTTTGGGGTTCTTCAACCATATAATAAAGGCCTTGACTTGATGTCTTCACAGGATGCCATTAGTTTTCATACACCCTGGGTCTATAAGACTGTTCCCATGTGGAAGACTGAGGTACCCATCTCTGGGGTAGTAACTGAGATGGTGACAACACATGTTATATAATGTTACCATGAGTAAGGCATAGTTCCTACTCTCAAGGAGCTGACCTAGAAACAACTCATCTCCATGCAACAAGTAGCAGACAGAGTGACTTTCGTGAAGGCTCAGTGCAAGGTCACTGAGCCAACCAGGAGAAGAGTTTAGTACAGGTTCCTGTGTGAGTGGACACCCAAACTTATTTTTTTTTTAATGTTTACGTATTTATTTTGAGAGAGAGAGAGCACTCATGCAGGGGCGGGGAGGGAGGGTGGTGGCAGAGAGAAGAGACAGAGAATCCCAAGCAGGCCCCGTCCTGTCAGTGTAGAGCCCAACACAGGACTCCATCCCATGAACTGTGAGGTCATGACCTGAGCTAAAATCAAGTCAGAAGCTTAATTGACTGAGCCACCCGGGCACCCCTGCACCCTCAATTTTAAATGCATTCCTTTGCCTCTTTCCTCAGAGGTTAGAGAGCACAGCTGTTATCCTTCATTTTTTTTTAACCCTTTAAATATTTGAGGACTTAAAAAGTACAAATTTTCTTTCCACAGACTACGTAACTTCAGCCTGTCCAGGGTTCATACATTGGTGCCCACTTTTTAAACTTTTAAACCCAATTTGTACATTGGCGCCCACTACCCCTCCCAATGCACATGTGTGCACACGCACGTACACAAACACTCACACGTAGGCCAAAAGGGTCTTCAGTCACCAAAAGACTCTTAAATCTAAAAAAATACATTGGTGTTGTCCTCTCACAAAGTACAGATTAAGGTCACATCCGTCACATAGCTACGTGAAACATCAAATCATTGGTATATTTTCTTCATTAAGTAGAAAGCAACAGAATCAGACTGACACACATCAGTCATTCTGAGGGATGACTCTACATGCCCAGAGGAAGGTATGTTCCCGCCTCCATTTCTGACAAGCGAATTAATCCTTTTTCCATTTGCGGGTATTTGGAAACATCAAGGACCTGAAATAGATCAGCCCCACTGGTAGGGGATGCACTTCCGCCAGGAAACACTACCGTTCTTCTAATCTTACATCATGGCATAAATACAACAGCCCTTGTTTTCCACACAGATTCCTACTTCTTTCACACCCAAGCATATGCTAAGAGCTCTCAAACAACACTCTTCCTCCATCTCTGGGAGGTGTTTTAAAACATTTTTAGCTCACCAAACAGAAAATAGAGGAGGATCTGTTTCTTTACTCAAGGATAATAATTTTCAATTGCCTATTTATACTACAGATGGAAACCTATAGATGGAAATAAACATATTTTCATTCTAAAATTGGCATCTGCTCTGCTATAGTTAAGGGTGGCACAATTGTATTTGAAAAACAATCATCCAGGAAATGCCACATTGCCTCACAATGCTCAGACCAAGTGCTTCTGGAATCAGGTGAATAACAATAAAGAACTGAAGGAAGAATATTAGCCTACTGAGCGAATAGGACCACATGTAGACAGAAAATGCCAAAAACAATAGTGAAATGTGTGACTAAAAAGTAAGACCTTATGACCTATAAGCAAAGGATCAGTCTCCTTTGAAAGACCCCAATAGGCAACGACTGATTGACAGTGTACAACTGTGCGTATAATACAGTAGCAACTAACCATACATGGCTATTTAAATTAATTAAGATTAAACAAAGCTAGAAATTCAGTTCATCAGTTGCACTACCCACATTTTAAGAGCTCAATGGCCACATGTAGCCAGTTGTTCCCATACCGAGCAACATAGATAGTAGAAATTTCCATCATTACACAAAGTTGTATTGGACAGTGGTGCTCTGGAGGGTTCTATTTGACTATTGGGTTAGCATCATTTTATTTTTATTTCTCTTATTTTTTCATTGTATTATTTATTAAGTGGGCTCCATACCCAGCATGGAGTCCAGTGTGGGGCTTTAACTTACAACTCTGAGATCAAGACCTGAGCTAAGATCAAGAGTCTGACACTTAACCGACTGAGTGACCCAGGTACCTCGGGTTAGCATCATTTTATACATCAGGCCTTAAAGAGATGATGGGGAGCACAGCACACCTGCGAGGTGTGACAGTCCATGGCAGAAAAGTATGGCGGAAAGGAAAAATATTTAACTCGTGGAATTGACCCAATATGATATAGTGTTGGCATTTTATTACAAGAAATATCCTTAGATAAGCAGAGAAATCTTGGGCTAAAATGGAAAGTAGTTAGTAAATCCTACTATTTGAATACTTCATCACAGTCTTCTCAGCATTCCAAAATGTACCAGCCTCTTCTCATCTGTTAGTGGCTGATTGGACTTTATTGGTCATCCATTTTTCAGTTCCTGCCCCCAATGTTGTGCTCTTTCGAACATGAAACAAAACACTTTCGAACATACATATAAATAGAACACCAATCAAAATAGAAAAATAAAGATTCTTCCCCAATTTACGAAAAAAAAGGCAAGAACTTTATTTTAAACAAATCCTCAGTTGTGTGTTACACCATGTCCATACCTAAATCAAAAATCATAAATGATAATGCAAAGGAAATTGGGGGCTTCATAAAGCAATTATTCAAATATTATTCTCAGCCAGTGCTTTAACTAAATACACAGTGGATGTAAAAGGTATAATATGGCACTTAAATATATAAGAGCAAAGAGAAGGAAACATATTCACAGTCCAAAGAAACAGGTTTTTGAACCTTTGGTATATGTCTCAAATACACATCCGTAAACACATGTTAGCCAATAGTGTTTCCAGGTTTCTTAAGCTAGTGATTAAGTGTGTGTTTCAAAAATAACTGATAAAATAATAAATTGGGATTGACATGGGCTGATTAAGGTCTCTGGTGTGAGCACACAGGTAAATTCAAACCATGGCAAAATGAAGTATAAGAAAATGAATGGAATACACCAGTTAGAAATTCTGTGGCTCAAGTAGACACCCTTGATAGCAACAACAACAACAAAATATTTTTAATGCTAGCCAAAGTCCACAAGCCGGAAGGCAGAAATATCCCAAAGCTCATAGCCACATGCCTAACAGTGCAACGACCATCTCACAGAAGTTTTATACTTGCATATTGCAATTCCCTCCCTCCCACCCAAACCCTGCCCCTAATAAACAGCACCAGTGCAGTTTGAGTTAGAAAATTGGAAATACTGAGACATTCCTAAGGTTTTCATAGTGACTAAGGGCTTGTCAGATGGGGCTTGAATGCGAACCTCTGCCATGGCCAATCTCCAAAAAGCACCCCATGTAATTCCCTCTAGCTTGCAGATAAACCATATTAGGTCTACTGTAAGGCTAGATTCAGAAAAAAGCTGGCATGCTATCCTGGGTTGAAGGAGAGGAGCATGCTGATGGGGGAGGTACACGAAAGATGCCTCAAGGATGTTTGTCCTGCAGCCCAGGATGAAGGGACGTGTTGAGATAGGTCACAAATTTTGGACCGATGAAGTATTTGTTAATGCCATTCACCAGGATATTGAGCTCAGTGGAGCTAAGTCCTACTTGGTAGCTGTGCAAGCACACTGTTGGCAGGATCAGACTGGGCCATCAGCGGAAAGGCCCAAAGAAGTCCGACTCATCCATCTCATCACTCTGCGCAGTGGTCTCTGTAGGAACCAATGGTGTGACCTGTGGTAATGGCTCTACTTTCTTTCCTCTCCCATTGATGCAGGGTCTTCTCTTAACTAGTCTTGTCCTATAGCTCAATGGCAAATGAGGGCAGATACAGCCACTCTCTCTGAGTAGTCATCTGCCTTGGGGCAGATTTCATTCCCCAGGCCCTATGTGTGAAGCTGCCCCTTCACACATAGGCAGAGTCACTGGACTGAGTCCTGCCAAAATTGGGAACACTGACCCGGGGCAGGTCCTTGTTGCGGATCTCATAGACTGACTTCCTCTTGGCCTGGGCCCCTCGCACGGCCAACTTGATCTTGCGCCATCCCAGGTGGTTGAGTTCAGCCAGGTTGAGCACAACACAGATGCCACTCACGGCAAACATGAACACTAAAAAGACAGTCTTCTCAGTAGGCCGGGACACATAACATTCCACCTCCTTGATGCAGGGGTAGCGGTCACACTCATACAACCCTGGGACACTGAAGCCATAGAGAAAGTATTGGCCTACCAGAAACCCAATCTCCAGGGCATTTCTGAACACCACTTGGATAATGTAGAAGCGGGAGATGCCTTCCTGCCTTCGGAGCTTGGATCGTGCAGCAGTGCGCAGCCCTGATGGGTGTGGGGTCAGCTCCTTAACCTCTAAACAATCTGGCTCTGTCTCCTTGCTGGTGTTCTCTGTGTTCTGCAGCACCCCATTGACAATGGCATTTTGCAACTTCTTATCATCTCGTTTGCCACCACCACTGCCTCCACCCCCAGTTCCTCCAGGACCCCCCATGGACTCAGGGGGCTCCCTGTCCAGGGTTAGGAAGACAGTAGAGTAGCGGCGTTCTCGCTGTTTGGCAGACTGGTGCACAGAGTAGGTGATGAAGCAGAGACTCGGGGTACACACCATTATGATCTGGAAGACCCAGTAACGAATGTGGGAGATGGGGAAGGCGCGGTCATAGCAGGCCTGGTTACAGCCGGGCTGCAGGGTGTTGCACACAAACATGGTCTGCTCATCATCGTACACCGTCTCCCCCACAATGGCCACAATGAGGATCCGGAAGATCACCACCACAGTCAACAGGATCCTGAGCAGGGGAAGAGGGAGGGAGAGAGGTTCTCAAGGGTTGAGTCACTGACTTAGGAAACCCCTGCTCCTCCTTTCCCTGCTCTGGTTGGTGTTTGCCAGTCCTTTGACTGAAGAGCTGTCCATCCCTGGTGGTTCTGACCTGGGAAACTAGGAAATCTTTTTTGGCTCTTCCCTTTCTGCTGGTTGCTGGTAGACTGGGAACACTTCATATTACAAGGATCTCAAATATATATATATATATATATATATATATATATATATATATATAGTCTCCATATTGGGCACGGTGTATTTGCAACAAATAGATTTCATCTGCTACATGGAATGCACAGAGGCGAAAAACACACCTTCACTCTGGATATGGCAAATGCACATGGAATATCTGAACAGAGAGTACCTGTTTCAAAGTCTACACACAGAGTGTGCATGTAATTATTTCAAGTGGATATTTAATTTACCCTCAGTATAAATACTGAACTTAATGTCTTATATAAACAGACAGCTATGAATGTATACCCACATATATACACGGCTTTTTATAGTGTATATACATATGAATATATATATACATATGATGACACAAAATATCAATTGGGAGTGTGGGTGTCTGATACTGTAAGTTTTAACAGCCAAATCAGTTTAGCTTGATAAGTATTTCTTGGGAAAAGATACATCTGTTCCAAAGAGCAGATCCATCTCCCCATTTGCCCTTCTCTGTCCAAACACAATCCTGCCTTCCTTGTAGATTCTATTTAGGGAACCGGATGGAGATTGGCTCTGACTCCAGAGAGTGGTGGGGGTACCACGACTGAGCCAACAACTCTTTTTCTAATGGGAGAAGAGTCAACCCCCCAGTGGTGCTTCAGGGGGAAGGGATGGAGAGCTGATCAGGAGCGGCTGGGGGAAGGGGACATCACCAGGCATCAGCATCGGGTGCACAATTACCGGGGGCACAGGCACACGGGCCGAGGACGATGGGAAGGGGCAGTGGATGGGCTGGGGGCTGTTGGGGCTCGGTCTGGAAGTGAGGAGGGACTCTCGGGGGTCGCCCGACGGGGCCCGCTGACAGTCGGCTCGGCGCCCTTACCTCCCGATCATAGTGGAGTGCTGCTGCACCGCGGCTTCCAGCAGCCTCTCCAAGATGGTCCATTCCCCCATCGCTGTGCATCCGGAGGCAGCAGACAAAGACTGGGCAGCACCGGGCACGTTCCCGCTCCTGGCCCCTCCCTGGGCCGCACCTCCCGACTGGGAGCGCTTGCCCCCCAATTAAGGAAGCAAACAAATTAAAAAAAAAAAAAATCCAGGAATCCCCTCTCCCTTTTATTGCACTTAAAAGAGGGAAATGAGGAAAGAAATCGTAGCGCACCCCGACTGATGGGGCAGCTGGCGCGGTTGGGAGAGCGGGCACTAACCTCCCGCGCCGTCCGGGGATCAGGTCTGGAGCCCACGGATGCCCGGGACAGGGGCGGGGCGGGGGTGGCAGCGTGCAGGTCCGTGAGCTCTTGGCGGCCCGAGAGAGGTCTCACCCCCTGGGTTGGGGGCCAGGGAAAGGTCCGGGCACCACCCCCCGCGCCAGGCACTTCTGCAGGCACCGGGCGCCCCTGTGCTGCCTCCTGCGAGGCCTGGGCGCAGCGCGCGGAGCTGGCTGACGGGCTCGGGAATCCGCGGCCGCCGCCTCTAATCCGCCCTTAAGTAGTCTCTGCCTGCGTCACGCCAGGTCGGCGGAGGGGAGCCGAGCGCGGCGTGTGGCTGTCGCTGCGCGCCGGAGCCCGAGGGGCAGGGGACGCGCGCACCGGGAGAGGGGGGCAAGAGTCCTGGGGCCCCCGCAGGGAGTGGGGTGACTTCGGGAGGAAGGATCGCAGTGCCCCTCGGGGCGTCTCTAGGCGCACAGGTATCCTCACCTGACCGCCAGTCCCCGGCGAGAGGAGGGGGAGCCGGGAGCAGACGCGTGGGTGAGTGGGAACGGACGCGAGTCGGTCGTGTGGCTTCTCTACGTGCGTCCCTCACCTTTTTGCTCTTTGTCTTTGGGGCGATAACGGAAATTCCCTCCCTAAATGGAGATGCTAGTTGGGGGGAGGGGAGTGAGAACGACAGTAGGACACTTTTAAATCTCCCTTGGAGAGGATTGAGTGGCTGAGAGGGAGCCTGCGATTCGGTGCCTCCGTGGGTCAGGCTGGGGTGAGGAAGGCTTGATGAGAGTCCGTTTAGGCTGAAGCTTAAAGGCAGATGTGAAGCTGCTTCTGAGGAAGTGGTCTGGGCACAAGTCTATACCTAGGAAGTGCCTCCCGAGAGCAGGTGGGTGGCCATGACTTATAGTCTCGCTTCTCCCAGCACAAACACAAATGCTCCGCTATTTTTTAAAATTATCTATTTGCTTGTTTGCTTATGTGTATATATATTTATGTGCCTGTTTATTTATTTATTTGCTAATGGGGTACCTTGGCCTGAATCTGAATTTAAGGAGGCCCAGTATTCTACTACCGGAAACAAAACCCGTTCACAATCTCACCCCATCTTCACTTATCTGGCCTTGGCTTTCTCCTCTCAACCAACAGACCCTGGTTTCTGTCTTTAAATTTACATTTTGTTGTCAGTTCTGTCCAGAGCAAATGCCTAATTGGTTGCTACAAAATAGAAACCATCACACCAGGCTGCTAATTAGCTCAGGGGTCAGTATTAGGAGACACAGTAGTTGGGAGTGATTTATACAAATGTACCCAAAGCACAATGGGTAAGTAGTTGTCACCCTTTTGAAAATACAGCTGTAAAAAGGTTGCTAACTCATCCTAGGTATACACTGCAGCCTTAATTATCCGTAAAGATCGAAGCACATATGTGTATTACTTAAACCACAGTGATAAGCTTTCAGCTCTAAAGCAACCAGGGTGGTTCGGTAGCTGGTGGCCCTGGCCCTGGGAGGAAGGGTAACAGGCATGGGCTTAAGTCTACTCACACTGCACTTTTGAATAAGATGACTTTTAAGGCACAACTCAATATTTGGTGTAGGAGGGATCAGTGATATTTCTCCTAGGCCTGATACCTTTACCCCAAGGAAGCAGTTTTTCACTGCAAAGAAGTAATAGAGTCTACTAAAAATGAGAAAGGGCTCTGGCTCCCTATATTCTCTCCTTTGGCAGACACTTTTGCAGTAAAGTATCTTAGACAAGGGGTGAATGAGTGAGATGGTCCCCTGGTAAATCTGCTTAACATCTTCAAATGTCCTAAAAAACTCAAAATCATTATAGTCTATACATGTGGCTTTACCAAACCCTTAAAGATGATGGTCCTGAGGCCAGAGATTGCCAGAAATACATCTTAAATGTTCATACAATGCAATTTTCAAGCACTAAGTTATGACTACAGTGTCAATCATTAGTTTAGTACTTTGAAATACAGTTTAGTCTGTCATATAGATTCAACATGTGAGCACATGTTGAATATATGTAACATGCATATAAACACAAAAACGTCTATACATAGGACCTATATTTTAAGACTCCTATGTTAGATTTGGTAGCCTGTTTTTAGATAAAAACCTTCTCATCCCCACACCTTGAAAACAATAAACTGGTTTTTTTTTTAATTTTTAAGTTTATTTATTTATTGAGGGAGAGAGCTTGTGAGTGCGAGTGGAGGAGGAGCAGACAGAGAAGGAGAGAGGGAATCTGCACTGTCAGCACAGAGCCCGATGCAGGGCTTGATTCCACGAACCGTGAGATCATGAACTGAGCTGAGATCAACAGCCGGATGTTTAACAGACTGAGCCACCCAGGTGCCCCAAATAGGGAAAGTTTCTATGTAGAGCTGCACGCTTCTGAATTTCCTCAGAGCACTATCTCATCCAGCTAGATTTTTGCTGTCTCAATTCCCCTCTAATTGAAGATCATCATTTAAGTCAACTGGGAAGTTCATTCCTTTTGCACTTTTTTTTTAGTGTTTGTTTATTTTTTTAGAGAGAGAGAGAGAGATTTCAAGAAGGAGGGGTAGAGGGAGAGAGAGACAGAGCATCTGAAGCAGGCTCTGTGCTGACAGCAGAAAGCCCCAGTGAGGGGCTCAATCTCACAAACCCATGAGATCATGACCTGAGCTGAAGTCTGACACTTAACCAACTGAGCCACCTAGGTGCCCCTGTTTTATGCTTATTTAAACCTCATTTTACTCCATGATAGTAGTGGTTTTGGATGAAAAACAATGGAGCTCATAGAATAACCTTTTGTTGTACATTAGACCATTTGCTGGGGTCCCACCCCAAATCTGCTAAATTAAAATCTATGGAAGCAAAGTTTAAGTACCTGAATTTTCATTTAATTCTCACCAGTGGCCCTGATAACAATAAAAAGTTGAAAACTTTTGTTTCTGTGAGTATTAGGGCAGAGAGGGGTCCTAAAATCAGGAAACCCCATCTCCTTGTTTCACAGATGTTAAAATTGACCCCCAAATTGGGTGAATTGCCTACAGTTATACTAGTAAGGAAAAAGCTATGAAGAACGTGCTATTTAAGAATCCCAGAGAAGAAGACCAAATAATTTTAAAGGATGGAAGATAAGAACTTTGAAGAAGGAAAAGAGAATTAAAGGTGGTTTGGATCATGGGGACATAGCTACCTATACACATTTAAAGGAAAGTAATACCTGGATCATTGGCTTTACAAAGCCATGTCTTACTAAACAGTAATTTCCATTAATGGAACAGGAAAATAGTCTCCACATTTAGTGATGAAAACTATAAAGGCACATAGCAAAGGGCGTGTGTATACTAATACAAGGAGAGAATAGAGAGTTACTAACACTGATCCAATTTACTACATGGGTTACCTGGATACACTTTTATCCTTATATGTGCTTAGAACTTCACTTTCTTCTCAGCCACAGATTCCCAGGTGAACTTATTAGCTTTGCAGCTTCAAACATTTGGTAAACGAAAACCTGCTAGGAACTTTGTGTAACATGTAAGAATGAAAGTGAATCTATTGACCCCTCCTCTACTGGACTGTGAATTCTTGGGGAGCAGAAGGCATGTTACTTATAGGTCATGATACTTTCCATAGTGTCTTTAGCATTGTGGAGACTTAAGTTCATTGAAGGAGCAGGGTGGCTCTCTGGCTCTATTCCCCTCAACTTGGGAAAGCTGCACATTCCCCGAGTAGAAGTGGGTCTCGGCTCCCCTGGGACCATGGGTTACATTCAAAGTGAGAGGGGGTCCCTTTTGCCAAGTGAAAGTCCCTACACACTTGGGACAGCCTGAGCCCCTCAACAGAAAGCATTTTTTGTTAACCTCCAGCCCCCTGCTCTAACTTGGTGCTGCCCTCACTCACGGTGGCCCCAACCCCCTGCTCAGCTTTGCCTGCCTTATGCTGCAGCATCAGAGAGGCAGGGAGCCCAGGGAGCTGGGCCTGGATACATAGATTCCGATGTGCCAGCATCTGTAGCCTCTGAGATTTGTGTGGCTCGGGAGGGACTACCTTCTGTTTGGGATTGGTCTCTGTGTTAAAGTCCTCCACATTTCATTCACAAACAGTTAGGATTAACTGAGTTATATCTCCTCCAGTGGCCTACATACATCTATTTCCTAATGAAACCATCAAGCTGTCTTCTGAGGGGGCAAACCCAACCTGTCTTGTGCAACTTAAAAGAACATAAGTGGCACGTGAAATCTACTCCTCTTTGCTGCAAAGTGATTTTTCTCTTTCTTTCTTCTGTGCTCCCTTACCTATATTTAAGCCCCAGCCCAACTGTTTATGGAAACACTTGTTTTTGCTGTTCAAAGTTTACAGAGTAATATTTCCTACAGAAGTAAAGCTGTCCAGGGACACCTGGGTGGCTCAGCTGGTAAAGCATCCAACTTCAGCTCAGGTCATGACCTTACAGTTTGTGGGTTTGAGCCCCGGGTCAGTCTCTATGCCGATAGCTCAGAGCCTGGAACCTGCTTCAGATTCTGTGCCTCTCTCTCTCTCTCTGCCCCTCCCTCACTTGTGCACTCTCTCTCTCTTTCTCAAAAATAAATAAATAAACATTAAATAAAAAAGAAGTAAAGCTTTCCAACCCACAATTATAAGTAGCCTTGAACATGGTGACTTCTGTGTGGCTTAGGACTTCCCCAAGCCTATTACCTTCAAAACTATTCCTCAATCTAGTGGTTCCAAATACCAAGTCATGTCCTCACCCCAGGAGACCATGTATCCAAATAGTGAGAAAATCCAAAATCTTCTGCTTGCTACTTCTTTGAATATATATATATATATATATATATATATATATATATATATATCCCTTTTTTAAAGTTTATTAATTTTGAAAGAGAGAGAGAGAGCACAGGAGGGGCAGAGAGAGAGAACGAGAGACAGAATCCCAAGCAGGTTCCATTCTGTCAGTGCAAAGCCTGACACCCTGACACGGGACTCAATCCCTCTAACTGTGAGATCATGACCTGAGCCGAGATCAAGAGTCAGATGCTTAACCAACTGAGCCACCCAAGCAGCCCAGGTATACATATCCCTTTTAAAAAATCATATGCACAAATTCCCCATTCCTCAGCCACCGTGTATATAGAGGATACACCTATGTGTAGTGATATCTCAGGGATTAACGTAATATGACATTGTGGCCAAAGCAGATGCGTGAAATCACAGCAAATAAATTAACACTCCATTAAGAATCAAATCAGCCCCGCTGACACATAATCTTTCACATCTATGTCAAGTCGTGATTCCCATTCACATCAGGAGCATCCCAGTGGGGGCTTGTTAAACCCGCAGGAAGAGATTTCTTTTAAGTCAACCCTATTCAGAAGTCATTCAGCGACAGTGCAGAAGAGCCTGCCTGGAGTCTGGGCACCCCCCCTCTTCACACTCTCATTGTCGCTGTCCAGCCAGAGTCCTGGCCATGCAGGACATAGCTGGGCTTCCAGCTGAGCGAATTTCCAGGCTGTATAAAAGAGATGAAACTGCAGGGGA